AGTAGGACACGACTGAATACACTCATACACACAGCCTGAAGGAACTGCTTCTTCACACTTCCCACCCTATAGCTACTTGTTGACTTACTCTTCTACCTAGAGTATTAAAATAAAATTCATCCTTTATGATGTAAAGCAAATGGCACCTTCCCTGGGGAATCTTTGCTCATCCCCCAAGAAATGAACTCTTCACTCCCCAGGCACTTTTCGGGTGCTCCAATAGCTTCCTTTAAGTTCTGCCTTCAATTTCTGGCAGCTGTTTAACCTCTTTCTCCCCTATTAGTCTGCAAACTCCTTGAGGACAAAAACTGACTCTTACTCACTGCTGTACTCCTGGGACCTAGTTAGTAGCAGATTTTGTGTAAAGCTAACTAAAAAAAAAAAAGAAAGAAAGTGAAAGTGAAGATGTTCAGTCATGTCCAACTCTTTGTGACCCCATGAACTATAGCCTACCGGGCTCCTCTGTCCATGGGATTTTCCAGGCAAGAATATTGGAGTGGGTTGCCATTTCCTTCTCCAGGGAATCTTCCCAACCCAAGGATTGAACCTGGGTCTTCCACATTGCAGGCAAACGCTTTACCATCTGAGCCACTAGGGAAGCTTAAAAAAAAAAAAATTAAAAAATAAAAAAACCTGTTGAGTAAATTGGCAAATGAATGAATGACTAGAACAGGAGTGGGAATGGCCATCCCATAAAAAGGCTACAGCACCAAATTCTGTATAAGTCCTCAGAGCTCGATGTTCAAGGGCTTTGAGCCCACGCCAGAAGTCACAGCAGCAGAACCCATCCTTGGTGTGTTTGTGTGGAGACGAAATCCTTCCTCCACACACCCAAGATCACCTCTGATGCTCAGCCAGGTCAGCGGGCTGAACACGCAAGCATGTGGCCTTTTGCTGGAGGCTGGACAACCTGCTTCCCCAGGGAGCTCCACGGTGGGGAAGTCCACACTTGCAAAGCCTCCCCAGTTTTCTGCCAAGCTGAGAGTCGTCAGCCACCCCAGGCTCGGGAACAGTTCAAGTTGCCCCAGACGGGCTGCTCAGGACATTCCTGTTATGAAATTTCCTTTTCTGGTGGCCCTGGGGCATCATGGGAAATCTGAAATTCTAAACAGCTGTTCACCTCTGGGCGTGGGATGGGACAGTCCCTAAGGCCTGTGATGCTCCCCTACCTCCACAGAGCTTAGAGCAACAACCTGGGCCTGTCGTCGTGGGAATGTGTCGTGTCAACCCAGGTACAGATTCATTTCTTGCCTCAGGAGCTTCTCTCTCTCTCACAAACCTGGATGTCTTGGACCTCAAACTTGGACAGTTTTCAATTTATTTTAAAATTCAACTTCAGGAATAATGAAACAACTGTGGATCAAAATGCCATTTTCTTTCAACTGGCTTATTTTTTTTTAAAAAAGATAATACCTCATGCTGGACTTCCCTGGTGGTCCAGTGGTTAAGAATCCACCTGCCAATACAAGGGACATGAGTTTGATCCCTCGTCTGGGAAGATCCAACATGCCTAGAGGCAACAACTACTGAACCCACGAGCCCTAAGGCCCATGCTCCGCAACAGAAACAAGAGAAGCCGCTGCAATGAGAAGCCTGCACCCCGCAACTAGAAAATAGCCCCTGCTAGTGGCAACTAGAGAAAGTCCCCATGCAGCAATGAAGATCCAGTGCAGTCAATAAATCAAAAAACAAAAACAAAATAACCCATGCTGGCTGGTGAGGTTGCTGGGAAAATGAACACTGCCAATGAGATTGTAATTTGGAGTAAATTTCTTCGTGGGCAATTTGAGCTGTATCAGTTCAGTTCAGTTCAGTCGCTCAGTCGTGTCGACTCTTTGTGACCCCATGAATCGCAGCACGCCAGGCCTCCCTGTCCATCACCAACTCCCACTCAAACTCATGTCCATCGAGTCGGTGATGCCATCCAGCCATCTCATCCTCTGTTGTCCCCTTCTCCTCCTACCCCCAATCCCTCCCAGCATCAGGGTCTTTTCCAGTGAGTCAAATCTTCAAATGAGGTGGCCAAAGTATTGGAGTTTCAACTTCAGCAGCAGTCCTTCCAATGAATATTCAGGACTGATCTCCTTTACGATGGACTGGTTGGATCTCCTTGCAGTCCAAGGGACTCTCAAGAGTCTTCTCCAAAACCACAGTTCAAAAGTATCAAATCTTCGGCGCTCAGTTTTCTTCACAGTCCAACTCTCACATCCATACATGACCACTGGAAAAACCATAGCCTTGACTAGACAGACTTTTGTTGGCAAAGTAATGTCTCTGCTTTTTAATATGCTATCTAGATTGGTCATAACTTCCCTTCTAAGGAGTAAGCGTCTTTTAATTTCATGGCTTTAGTCACCATCTGCAGTGATTTTAGAGCCCAGAAAAATAAAGTCTGACACTGTTCCCACTGTTTCCCCATCTATTTCCCAGAAGCCTCTAAAATGTGCTTCTTCTGATCTTGCAATTCCATTTCCAGCAGTTTATCCCAGAGAATTAATTTAAAATACTATCAAACCATTGGTTATAAGAATTTAAAAAATTTTTTGACAACTTAAGTCCAGATTACCAACACGATGCAACCGTTAAAAATGGTGTCGATGAAATCTTATGATAAGAACATTGTCAGTAGAAGGTGGAATTATGGGTGATTTTAATTCTCTTTCTAAATTTTCTGAAATGATTTTGTGTTACTTTGGCATATTTAAAGATACTTTAAGTAGTCTGAGAAAGACCTGCCCTGGAGATTGTTACTTTTGTCCTTTTTTTTTTTTTTTTAACTTTTGTCCTTGACTAGGAGTCTCAGCTTTCCAAATTGGGAGATGGGGGTTCAGTAGCAGGGTAGGAAATTTCTTTTCTCCCCTTCCATCTCCTTTCCAATTTGGGTCAATCACTTCAAAGACAGCCCTTCCCCCAGCAGTTCCGCAGGTTTTGTGGGCTGTTTCTTTGTTCCCCTCATCTGTCAAGAGAAGGGCTGCCAACCTGTGGCTGACCCCATTTTGACAAAACTCCCTTCACCAGCATTCCTTACCTGATGGGATATGCTTCTCTCCTGTATTTCAATGAGACGACTTACCTCTCATTGAAACAAGCGGTCTTGTCTTTCTGTTTTTTTGTTTTTGTTTTTCCTGTGGAGGAACAACTCTTTCTGCTTGGTGAATTTATTTTTCATCCCATTCTGCATAGCTTAAATGCCTCCTCCCTCGACACCATGATGGGCACATCCTAATCCTCTGAGATGAGGGTACTGTGTTATCCTCATGACAGTATGCCATTTTCCTGTTCTGAAATTAAGAGTTCTTCCTCTATCTGAAGCTCACTGCTGGAGAACAGAGACTCTGAAAGGCAGTAGGAAGGGGATGAGGGCCTTGAGAGGCAGGCAGAATCCAGTGGGGTGGGAAGTGGGCCGGGGAGGGGATCATTCCTTCAGGGCTCTCTGGGTTTGAATTCAATTCTGGCTCTACCTTAAGCAAGTCAGTTCACCTCTTTAGGCCTCACTTCCATTCTGTGTGATTCAGAGCTCTGGGCAGGGAAGCTGTTGATACCTGCCATGTAAAGCTGCTGCATGGGTTCCGTGAGTTGACATACACCGAGCACTTAGAACCCTGCCTGGTACAGAGTAAGTGCTTTTTAAGGACTAGCCATTACCACCATTGGGCTTCCCTGGCAGATGGTAAAGAATCCTCCTGCAATGCAGGAGACCGAGTTCCATCTCTGGGTTGGGAAGATCCCCTGGAGAAGGGAATGGCAACCCACTCCAGTCTTCTTGCCTGGAGAATTCCATGGACAGAGGAGCCTAGCAGGCTACAGTCCATGGGGTTGCAAAGAGTTGGACACAACTGAGTGAGTGCCTTTCACTTCACTGCCACTATCACCATCACTCTTCAAAGCTGGAACACTCATCTCTCCACCCCCCTTGCAGTTATGGCAGTGTTGCTTGGGCAGACCCTACTGAAGACGGGTGTTCTGAGCCTGAGACTGGGTGTTGGGCACAGATACCCCTAGAATGATCTTCCACATGACACTGTGTGTCAACACATCCTGACCATTTCCCAGGGGGAAAAACCTAAGGGTGGCCTGAATTTTTATCCCAGAGTACCTGGTACCTCTTTCTACTCATAGCCTTACTACCTGTTGAGTACTGTTGGCCTCTCCTACCTGGCGATGACCTCTTTTCACCTCTACACCGCCTGCTCTTTCAGCTCTAAGTCTCCAGCACCTCCTCTTCCCCTCAGAGAACGGTGTTGCTGTTCACCTAACTGCTCAAACTAACTTATTCCCCACAGGACCAACAACTTCTTACATGGTCTCTGTTTTATGTATGTTTTTATCCCCGTAAATCATTCTTAAGAGACAGAGAAAGCTTCCATAAACAAAGAAAATAGCGGCGCTAACTCATTCTACTAAGTGAAACGTCGCAGTGTGGCTGGCGAGGGTCTCCTCCTGTTAGCCTCTGTCTGCCTCCCTCAGCGCCCCCTGAGCCCTCTGCCCTCAGCCGCCTGCAGCGACCCCAGACTCCTTTTGGTCTCTCAGACTGCAAGTGCTTTTCTGCTGTCCACGCGGATGCTAGACAGCAGTCTGCCCCTCAGTCTCATTGTTCTGGCTTCTCTCTTCTCAGTTACATGGCATTTCACCCATAAGGTGTTGCTGACTGTCCCCTCAACGTAACTTCATCGCCACAGCTGTCACTGGATGCCACTCTGTTTTCCTTCCTGACATGTTAGGAATTCCATGCAGGCCCCCAATTCACCGTCTTGCTCACTGCTGAATCCCAGCCTGAGCACAGCGGTTGGCATGCTGAGAGCTCTAAAAAGAGGACTGACATGTTTTCACTGTGTTTGTGGTCTCTCCTCCTTGTTCCATAGACCGCCTACCTCCCTGTCCCGTCTCCTCTTATCAGGTACCTCTCCCCCTCAGAGCTGGTGTTTTCATCCCCTTCATGAGCTCCTGCCCCTCAGAGGGTTTCTGCAAAAACTTTCTGGAAGGATCACATCTCTTACAACTGCCTTCATAAGAACTTTTGTTTTATTATTATTATTTAGAAATGCAGTTATATACAGAGAACAATTAAAATTAAATTAAACTTTGTACAAATATTAAAATACTATCTTCACACCCACTGCAATGTACAGGATACCAAAAAATATATATATAAAATAAAATAAAGCAAACCCAAACTGATTGAGTGACATCCTGCACAGTCAATGATGCGTGTGTCATGTGAAACAATTGCTGAGATTCCATAGTGGTGTGACGAGCCGCCAGGCCACCCTCAACCCTCTCTTCTCCCTGCCTGGCGATCCAAGTGCTTTGCCCAGGCGCATCCCCCCAGCTCCTAGCACAGGGCTCAACCTTGGGGTTCTCGTTCAAAATTCTACTAGATTTTCAACTGGTGGTTAAGAGGAGCTGCTTCCCAGGAAAGCTGAGCCTGCCTTTCCCTCTCCAGGGAACCGGCTACTCTACCACTCGGTCCAAGAACCTGCCACACGAAATCCTCTCCGAGGCCCCTCAATGGACTCCAGTAACAACAGGCCCAGTGCTGAAGGCCAGGAGCCCCAGCAGGCTTCAGGGAAGCTCCTGGACTCTGTCCTCAGCAAGCACATCTGGAATGAAGCTGTCAAGCCTGTGTCCTTTCCCTCCTGGGCCCTATATTTTCAAGGAGGGGGGGAAAACAAACAAACAAACAGGCAAGGATCTAGAAATGTCTGCAGCATTTTCCACTCTCTATGTAGGAATGCTCCCTGGGAAGGGAAGTGACATTGTTATGTGGGAAGCGAGTGGTTTGAGCTCCATGGGGGTGGGGAGGGGAAAGGTCGAGTGCTAGGGTTCCTGTGCCACCACTGACTTAGCAGGAAAAGTATACCTTTGTCTGGCCATCAGCTTCTCCACGAAGCTCCACGGCTGGGGGAGGGGAGGAGGTGGCAGGCAGGAAGAATGCAGATGAGACATGAGCTAAGTTCTGTTTGCAAATGGAGTGTTGGGAGGATGTACGTTGAAATGCCTTATAAAACCAAAAGAACTCACAAAGTGGCCAGGACTTGGCCCATTTCACAGTTCACACCCAGTGAAATGGGAACACAGCACACAAAACTCAAAAATGGGAAAAGATAGAGCCTACCTGCTGAACTAAGGCATTGAAAATGTTAGAAATTTTAAGTGATTTTTTTATCATTTACTGGCCCTTGAAAGTCACTGGAATGTGACTGCAAGTTGCCAAGATATAAAACCTGCACTGAGTCAGCCCGTGTACGCAAATAAAAAGAAAAAACCGCTTCTTAAAAGTCCTTTGGTGCCGACCGTTCCTCCTGTACAAGTCCTCTGCTGGGCTCCCCTAGAGGTGAGCTGGGGGAGGCCAGACCGGGGCAGCTTTCCCCACTGCTCCAAGCCCCTCTGGTGGCCCCCAACACCACCTTGTCTCTCAGCCAGGCCCCACCCCAAGGCCGCCATGGAAGCCCTGATCCTTCACAAGAAATAAGGGCCAGATGCTCTAGAAACAGCAGTTCATGGCTGATGTGGGAGATGAGAACTACTGCGGGAAAAAGTCACAGGAGTAAGCAGGGAGGTGAGGCTGGCCCAGCACCCACAGGCCAGGGGCCTTCAGGAGGCAGGCCTCATCAAAGCCAGGGACAGGGGAGCAGGGGAGGGGACCTCCCAACTTTTCTCTCCTCCCTCCCAGGTGGCAAGTCTGGGCTTGTGATCCCTGGATTGGGTGGGCAAGGTGGAAGAAGGGTTCAGAAGGCAGGCTTTTTCATTTTTTTCAAGCGCCAGGCGGATCATCTCTGTGACTGGATAAACCACAAACAGAAAGTGCAATCTCATGGGGAAAACCCCCAGAGTACTTATATAAAAAAGGGTAAGAGCTCTGTTTAAAAAAATATTCTAGACTCGACTTCAGGTGCTGGAAGATGGGGAAATGAAAGCTGCAGGCTCAGCAGTGAGACTCTGGAGGCCCCCCAGCTGCCCACAGGGCCTTGCTCCCTTCTGGAGGAAGACAAGGGCACCACGGGTGGCGCACAACCCGTGCGGGCTGAAGTGACTGGGGTCATGGGGACCCTGCCCTCCAGACGGGCCCCAGGCCAGCCACGGCTGGCAGGTGCATCTCTGGACACGGCCTCTTTGGAGGCCAAGGGCAGGCCTGCTCCGTTCTGCACTTTCCCTCGGGCACCTCCTCCTCGCGGGCCAGGGCCGTGGGCGCCGGGTGGGGAGGACAGAGAGAAAGACGTTTGGCAAGCACTGCCCTTACCTGAGAGGAAGGAAGACCACAGGGGTGCGAGAGGCCGGGATGAGCGGGAATAAAGTGCGAGTGTTGAGCGAGGGGGCGGAGGCTGAGAGAAGGCCCTGCGTGTCCCTCCTCTCCAAGGCCACGGGAGCTACCCTGTTAGGTCAGGAACTGAAAACACACTGGGCTCAGTCTTCTCAGGCTGGGGGAGGAGTGGAGGGGCAGTGCTTCAGGAACAGAAACAGTAATAAGCACTCCTTACTGCCATATCTCTGGGAAGAGGTAGCAGCTCTGCTGGGCCCTGCCGCTGCCCCGGGCAGAGGGAGCCACTCCTTCCACACCAGGGCCCTGGAGCCAGGGGGTGTGTGCTGATGTCTCCGGGGCCCTCCCCTGGACCCGGGGAGGTGGGGGGGGGGTTGTCTGTCAGCAGTGGAAGGTGGCAGGGGAGGGCGGGAGCAGGAGCAGCAGCAGTGAGCAAGTGGCAGCATGCTTCCCGGGCACAGTTACTAAGGCACGTGACTGCGGTGATGAGGACCCTCAGGGCCGGGCCGGAGCTGCCTGCAGCTGCCTGGGGGCTCGGTTGACCCCTCAGGCCCCCTTCCATCACCACGAACCCAGGACGAGACCACTGGCCCCCGATGCCAGTGACCAGCGGGGCATCCCAAGGCATCTCAGAACTATCACGTCCCACAGGGGACGCCACCAGCCTTGGCCGGCAAGGAAGCCAGGGCTGCGTGGCGTCACACCCAGGAGGCAGCAGGCACCTTCCCCTTAAGCTCCAGGGAAAGAGGAAAAAAAACCGAGGCCAGGAAGGCCAGATGCTGGAAGTAGGAAGTGAGGACTTGCATATTAGGAAGACAAATCATTAACAGCCACCTTCCTCCCCTCCCTTGGGATCTTCTGGACGCTTCTCAGAAAGTCACCAGGGCCAGGAGCTTCCACATGTGAGCTAGACAGCTGGGCCTCGGGGCGACTCCTCACAGCCTCGGTCCTCAGCTGAGGCAATGTGCCACTGCTGTCGGCCAAGGTAGGCCCAGGGCCCCACACTCTGGCCCCAGCTGAAGCCACCTTCGGATCTGCTCCTGCTAAGGGCAGTGGTGCCAGCCTTCAGAGCGAACAGGCCAGACCCAGGCCTGGGCCCCTGAGGGGGCAGCGGTGCAGCCATGAAGGCTCGTAGGACAGCAACTAGCCTGCGTGACCGGGAAACCGGACGGGCTGGGGGGAAGGCACAAGTAAACACGGCGCGCTCGGGCCCACACGGGCTGGCGGGGCTGCCGCCCAAGAGCTGGCTGCAGGGGACCCGGAGGGCTCCAGAAGGGAAGGGTCCAACCCAGCACGTTCAGATAGTGTTCCCGACACAGGTGGGAAGGCGAGGCCAGGCAGGGAGCCAGCTCCTCCAGCCTTCCAGCAGGCAGATGGCGACACTCTTCCTGGAGTTTCCGGCAAAGTGGGCCTCTGGGCCCTCGGAGGTGCGGAGATACACAGACATACAGGTGGGCAGCTCGGGTCTCCGGGGAGGGCGGCTGGAGGACATGGCGCTCAAACCCACAGGGAGAGGAGGAAGGGCAGAGAGGAGAGAATCCCGTGGCAGCCCTCATGCTTCTTTCAACAGTGGGATATCTGCGGGCGGAGGAAGATGGAAAGCACAGTGGTTACCCTGTGAGGGTGACGGCAGCACAGCTGACCCCGCTGCGGGGACCCCTCACACACTTCTAGGTAGTCTAAACCCCTCACCCCTTCTCCAGGCCTTCCTTGCTCATCTCTCCATTTGTCTGTGTGACAAAAGCTGAAGAGTCAGTCCAGTATTCAAACCCTTTCTGGTCCTGCCACACGGCACCCTCTTCTCTGCTTTGATGCTGCTGGTTTAGTTGCTTCTCTTTCTACCCTTATTCTCATCCTGTGAGGCTACTGAGTCCTGGTAAGTCTCACCTCTTTCTTAAAGCCATCCTCCAGCTGTGTGATTCTGAGTAAATCACTCCCCTTCTCTGGGTCTCAAGTCATCTCACACGTTACCTGGGTTAGACTGATACCTGAAGGGCCTGGCTTCCTTCAGAACTGTCTGCCCCGGATAACTTGGGCTTAGCCTGCAACCAACTCAATAACCTATGTGTCTGGTTTTGTGCACCCCTCATTCTGACATACTATTCAACTGACATGAATGTGAGCAAACTCTGGGAGATATGGAAGACAGAGGACCCTGGCGTGCTGTAGTCCATGGGGTGGCAAAGAGTCGGACACGACAGCAACCGAACAACAACATTCTGACATGGACCCTACCATTTTTGGCTCCATTTTTTTCCTCAGGTATATGCTCCATCTTCCCAACTGACTGACAGTCCATGCATGCGGAAAGCATGTTTCATGAGTCTTTCCATCGCACCTGAAACCTAATCCAGTACCAGGCACAAGATGGGCTCTGTCTGAATAATGCTTGTTCAACACGTGGAACAAAGCCAGGGGACAAGGAGAAGGGAGAAGAGCTGGCACCCCAGGGTTCCTTAGGAAGGTCAAGGGCTAAGGTCTATGTCAATATGTGCCGACACACAGCATGTACAGCTGGATGCCCCGGGGGTCACTGGCTTCCAACTTTAAATCTGGCCCAAGTATTTAATGGCCCCTTCCTAGCTCTACATCCCACCAAAAAATAGGAGGCATACTGCTGATACTCAGGAAATCCTAAACCTGATCTGCACTTAAAGATTTCCTACTTCTTGGCTTTCAGATATTCTAAACCTTAGACACTAACTGAGGCCTGGACTCCCAGGAAGCAGAGTGCTCTAAAGTGCTTTTGGCAGAGGGGTGGGGGGCGGGGTGGATTGGTAAGCATGGAAGTCCTGACTTTTCTAAAGGGAAACATCTAGGTTTATCCTGCATCCTGAACCACAGTGGGATTTCATGTAAAGATGGCTTTTAAAGTGATAAGAGTCAATCCCAGCATTTGAGCTCCAGCTCTGGTAAAGGCGGAGGTGTCAGGAGGCAGCAGTTTCATCCTCTGACAGCTTTACCACAAAGGCCCTGGGGTTACCTGGGAGGCAGCATGGCACCATGGATTATGATACAGGCGTGGGAGCAGATCCATCTGGCTTCAAATCCCAACTCAGCCATTTACCAATGGGCAAATGACTTACCCTCTTGGAGCCTCAGCTTCCCTATCTGTAAAATGGGGTTGGTAAAAATACCTACTTCTCAGGATCACCGTGAGGTCTGACTGAGGTAGTGCAAGAAAACCGAACAGCACAGGAGCAGACATACTCCTGTTTAAAATGAAGCAGCTGAATGCTCTGGGGGAGAGGCTCCAGTTTTCCGAAGACCCCACACCTCCTTGTCATTCCTGTCCTTTCAGGAAATTATAACCAGAGGACAGGCCCCACTTCCACCACCAACTGGCTGTCTACCCTTTGATTCAGCATTTCCCTGAGGCCATGAATAGTTGCAGAGACTCCAAACCTATTAAGATTCAGACAATAGCGAAAAGTCTCCCAATACAGAACCCAAAGGCCCACCTAGGGTAAAATCCTATTTTGTAAAATAATCCCCTAGGTTTTATCTTTCTTTGCCCCCAAGCACACGGATTATCAGGAAGGCTCACAGACTCTCCTCACTCCCAGCAAGGGCCCCGGGCAGGTAGTAACTGAGGGTCAGGCAGCCCACCCACCATCCGTGTAGTCCTCTGACGTGAGGCTCTGGATGTCACTGTTCTCCGAATCCGGGGCTTCTTTGTGTGCCGCTCGGCTGTTCCCTGAGCCGGCCACCCAGGAAGAGGTGGTTGCCTGGTGCACCAGCACAGTCTCTGAGCCCCGAGAGCCCCAGGCTTCACACAGTCCAGACTGGCCAGGGGCTTCTTCCTCGCTGCCTGCAGAAGAACAGGCCCCCTGGTCCTGCAGGTGCGGCTCCCTTGGCCCGCTTCTCCCACTGGGCCCAGACCCTTCTGACAGCACAATCTGCACTCTGGGGTCCGCGGGCGGCACGCAGTGACCAGAACTGCCGTATACAGCCTCCTCATATGACGGGAGCGCAACCTGGACTCCGTCCACCATGATGGAGACCTGGTCTCCGGACACTCCCTGGTCACGTCTGCACCGCAGAAGGAAAGGACAAAGGAAGAATCAGAATACACACACAAGTGGGTATCACGATAAACAACACCAAACATTTCTGAGGGCTTACTGTGTACCAGGTATGGCACTAAGGGCTTTATACAATTCATCCCCTGGCATCCTCACCTGGGTCCTTCACCAAGAAGGCGGATGAGGCTCCAAGGAGTTAAGTAACCTGCCCAGGCACACAGCTGGTAAGGGAGGAAGCTAGGATGTGCATCCATTCCACCTGCTTCCAGAGACTATGTTACTAACCTCTAGGTACACAGGTACCTGGCCCTCTGGTCCTGTGTAAAAACTAGGAAGCTCGAGACTCAGAAACATAGCCACTGGTTCAGCACAGCTAAGCCAGCAAGTGGGAGAGCGGTGGCTGCACGTCCTGTGAACATGCCCTGCCTGTACACTGCCAGTGAGCACACTGTATGGCATGTAAATTCGTTGCTGTTCAGTTGCTAAGTCGTGCCCGACCCTCCTGCCACCCCATGGACAGGAGCCCACCAGTCTCCTCTGTCCATGGGATGTCCCAGGCAAGAACACTGGAGTGGGCTGCCATTTCCTTCTCCAGGCTCTTAACCCAGGGACTGAATCCGCGTCTCCTGCATTGGCAGGCGGATTCTTCACTGCTGGGCCACCAGGGAAGCAAATTACATCTCCATAGAGCTCCTTTGAAAAAGAGGAGAAGGCAAAGAAACACCGTGATCTTGAAGTGGGACACTGGACTCAAAAACTGAAGGAAGAATTCTGTTCTTTTGACTCAAGGCACTTTACTTGCCTTTTATTTTTTAAATTTTGTAAACTTAAAAAAAAAAACCTGTGGATTATAACACCAATGTCTGACAAACACAGAAAAACGTACAGCTGACGTATTCCAAAGGTGATGCTAGTGTATGGGCTTCCCCAGTGGCTCAGCAGGAAAGAATCTGCTTGCGATGTAGGAGACGCAGAGAAGCGGATTCGATCCCTAGGTCAGGAAGATCCCCTGGAGAAGGAAATGGTAAATCACTCCAGAAATCTTGCCTGGAAAATCCCATGGACAGAGGAGCCTGGTGGTCCAGGGGGTTGCAAAGAGTCAGTAGTGACTGAGCAACTAAACAACAATAATGCTAGTGTGTAACCTCTATCTGGGTCAAGAAATAGAACCCTGCCAGCACCCAAGCCCCAGCACCCCATGACCATTCCTATCACCTCACCACCAAAAGTAACCACCATCCTAACTTACATTAAAATCATTCCTTTGAATTTTATTTTAGTAACTTTAATGCCTAAGCATGAATTCTCCAACATCGTTTAGTTTTGAAATTCTGTGACCTTTTATGAATGAGATAGATAATAAACGTGTCTGTTTGTGTGTGAATAGGTGTGTCTGGTTTTGTATTTTACTCAACATTATGTTTGGGAGATTTAGCCGTGCAAATACCTTTTTTCTGAATCACTTTTATACACAGACTCCTGCCCCAAACCAAATCAATTTGGGGATTGAGGCCCAGGTGCTGGCACTTGTTTTTAGTTCCCCACTGGAGCCTCTCTGTGCATCCAGGAGTGGGGACCCAGGAGACAGGGCAGCGGCTTGCCTCAGAATCGTTTGGAGTGCTGACGAAAGGCAGAGCCTCTCATTCTGTCAGTCTGGGTGGGGCCTGAGAATGTGCATTCCTAACAGGGTCCCAGGTGATGCTGCTGCTGCGGGGATCACATGTGAGAACCACTGACATAGCAGAAGTAACGTGGCACTAGAGTGGGACAGACTGGGGTTTAAATCTCACCTAGAGCAGTGGTACCCAACCTTTTTGGCACCAGAAACTGATGTCGCAGAAGATAATTTTCCACAGACAGGGGTGTGTTAGGGGGTGGTTTGGGGAAGATTCAAGTGCATTACTTTTACTGTGCACCTTATCTCTAATCTAACACTGCCACTGACCTGACAGAAGCTACTGGTCTGTGGCCCAGAGGCCAGGGGTGGAGGGGGGCCTGACCGAGAGGGATGACCCTCTCTGAGCCTCAGTTTCCTAATCGGCAATGATCCTGTGAGGATTACGATGACGGATGCAAAGCAAAAGCACACTCCCTGGTACACCTGGAAGTTTAACACACGCAGGGCCCTCCCCTTTCCCTGGGCACACACGGACCAGCAGAGACCAGCAGACCCACCAGCACCCTTCTGCCAGTCCAGGGCCGGCCCCCCCAAGTGACGCCTGCTGCCACCGCCACTGGGCTCACCGGCTGTGATGGAAAGACTTCAGCTTTGGCTGCAGCAGCACAAACAGCACCACGAGGAGGAGAATGAGTGCCACGGAGCTGGCAGTGGAAGCCACGATGGACAGCGTGGGGACCCCGAGCGACGTGTGGGTGTCTTTGTCTACGGAAACAAGCCATCATCAGCAGTGTTTTGTACCCAGACACAAGGAACGTGAGCCCCATGGCTGATCTTCAAAGGCCCCCTGCATGGTGTCACGCTAGCATGTGACATGAGACATGCTAGGTATGGCCAGGGTAGCCTTTGGAGCAACGGTGCAGAGTGGCTTTTATGTCAAGGAAAATGGACATTTCCCTATTGTGTTCCTGAAACTAAAATTCCCTTCACCTTGGACCGCTGAGGACCATCTAACACCTAAATTCACTTACCCCTAGAGATCTTACCTTTATAAACCCCAGCTGATCCTGTCCTCAACAGCAGGTTGAAAGACATGAACCATTCAAATGCACACATCTTTCCACCATCTAAAGTTCCACCCATGTGGCAGGAAATTTTATAAAAACAGGGTTGTAATAACCCTCTGTTCTAAGGTCCTGCATCTTTAGCTGTATATCTAAAGCTGGTCCCCACCCTTATCCAGGGTGTCACTGTCCTGAAACTGGAGTGAGAAGCCCAGAGACGGCTGCATGACACACACTTTCCCCAGGAGGCTGGACCTCATGTCATGTACGACGGGAGGAGGCTGAGGGGGAGCGCGCTTCTGTCCAGCTGGACCGCGGCTCCGTAACAAAACAGAGCCCTTCCATTCAGGGAAAAATAATATACCAGAGGCACTACAGAAGGTGCTCACATTGTGCCCGTGTGTTAGCAGAACACGGTCAGAGGTCACCAGCACTGGGCTAGGGCATCAAAGGGACTCTGCATAGCACAGCAGATGCCTCAGTGGCTCGGCTGAAATGCCGCGGGACACACATCAGCAGTCCAAATGTCTAACTGAGACGTGAAACCGCAAAGGAAGGGAGGCTGCCGGGCGTCAGAGGGGCCACGCTGCCCCCCACAGCACAGGGCCCTCTGGAGCAAGTGCGCGCCACTTCCCGGGAGCTGGAAGGGAAGAAGGAGCCCAGCAGGAAGTACCCCACTTTCGCCTGCCAAACTGACCCTCGTTGAGACGGCAGCTGATCTCCATGGCTGGTTTCCACTCGCCATTCTTACACGTCAGGTATTTGTAGTCACCCTTCAACATGTAGCCTTCGGCACACAGGTACTCAATGACGCTGCCGGAGTTCAGGGGGTCTCTGCAGGGCCGGGGGTGGCAGATGTAGCCACCATTCTCTGGCTCCGGCGGCAGGGAACACACTGCAGAGATGGAGAGAGAGGAGGTACCGTGGTGAGGTTTTCCAGCGGGAGCACTGTCAGCAACACAGAGAGGGGCAGTGCTGAAGGCCTCGGCAGGAAACCCCCCAGGAGCAGAGTGCCAGCCCCTTGGAAAGGCTGCTGCCCAACGCTGGAAGCTCAGGTTACCAAGGACAGAGGGAGGTGCCCTGGCAACAGGGGAAGCTGGGCTGCCAACACCACATCCCCTCGCCTTCCCCCTCCCTACTGCCTGCAGAGAACCGCATCCTTCACTCAACAGTAGACTCTGACCAAGCCAGATTCACAGAGACCTAGTGTGTAATATGGTTTTAATAAAACCTACTGGAACACAACAAAACCAAGTGACAGGTGGTAAAACACCAGTAACCTGCACGAGGGAAATGTTAGCCTTGTTTCCAGATCAGGATCAGAAAGGACTCCTTTGTGTGATAAAACGTGCCTTCTTGGCTCCAGAGGGGATTTCTGATGCGTTTCCTGGGAGGCTTCCCAATCCCCCTGCACCACGCATTCCCTGACCTGCATGGTCGCTGGCATCACTCGACTCCATCCCACAGTAAAGCCTGTATTTTCCATTGAGGTAGGTCTGCTCAGTTTTAAAAGCACCTTCATTCATCTCCTATCTTATTTATTTGTTCTGACAACTCTGTGAAGTAGTTATCATGCCTCCCCTTTGACAATGAGGACACTGGTCCACAAAAGTTAAATGACTGAGCCAAGTGTGAGGCAGAGAGTCAAGGGCAGACCGGGGAACACAGCTGGGTCTCCTGATTCAAACCTGTGCTCTTCCCACCAGCAGACACTGCTTCCACCCCAGGAGTGAGGGGGCCTTTAAGGACTGTGTATGTCAAGGCTACCTCCCCTCTGAACAAGGGAGATGGCAAACGGTACCTAAGTGCGGGGGGAACTCGGATGGAGACAAGCTGTGGTGACAAGCTCCCTGGAGCAGCACAGGGAGAAGGCGGCCTCCGATTCCAAGGCCTGGGGAGGACGTGAAGCACCTGGATGGGCACTGCAGAACCGAAGTACCCAGGCAGTAGATTGAGGGGTGTGCCTCGAAAAAATAGGAAGGGGACAACAGGAGCACTCAGGGACCATTGTTTGGAAGAAGATACGCTGGCAGGTGGCCAGGCACTCACAAACTTCAGCTTAGCCCAAGCCTTACTAACACAGGAAAGATGAAAGTCTCCAAAGGACTTTAGATTTTGCTGACAAATACCCTGTCCCCATCAAGATATGACAAGGATGTCAATATGAAAATAAAAACTGCTGGGTTTCTGGTTTTCACTTCCTCTAATAGACCCAGAGTTTCTGACTGTCTGAGATAAGGTACTTTCCCTTCATGGGACTGCCCACCACTCTCTCAACCAAATACCACTTTCCTTCAGCCTGCAAACTGCTCTTATGTAAGATGACTGCCAGTCAGGAGAGGGGGGTGTGATATGAAGTAAAAAGAGATGATGGTTCCCTGCCCTCAGGCTACTTATCACTGAGATTTGGAGAAAAGACTCCATTACTTAACCTATTAAAATAATGAGGTAGGTCCACAGGTATCAGAGAAGTCTGAACGTCCTCTCTGAAACTACTAGGAGAACCCAAATAAGCCCACTCAGCGCCCTCCAAGGACACACTGTCATCTCTAGACTCTTCCCACGTCACCCACCTCGCCCAAAGCCTAGAACACGAGGGAGAGACAGGCATCACCTCTCCTGGTGCCTCTCTAAACTCTGGCCAAGTCGTTCAAAGAGCTGGCCAGCTGGATTTCCAAAGGAAGCTCAGCAAACTGCTTTACCTTGTAACACTCTCCCTCTTTTGTTCAGGGCAACAAGCCTGCCAGAGATCGCCTGGCTCTCTCCAGATTGTGTCTAATTGGTTCATTTCCTCAGTGTAATTAATGCTGAGCATCCCACAGCAGCTCCCAAAAGCAGGCAGGACTCACACAGGTCGTGTGCGGGGGAGGACAGTCGCAGGGGAAGGGCTGATGATTCTCAAGTCATTCCGGCTCTGCTGGGCACTTCTGCCCATAAAGCCCACATCGTCATGGAATCCCTGAGAGGGCCCTGGACATCACCTGGCACTCATTATATCAGTACAAAAAGTGAGGTCTACAAAGATGCCACTTACAATTCATTTCGATTAACCTAATATTTACTGATGACTGGGTAGGGATCGCTGAGATATGCTCTGAAAAGGGATGAAAAGATAACAAGCACTCCAGGTGCCTGTGTGCTCAGCTGCTCAGTCGTGTCTGACTCTGCGACCCTGTGGACTGTAGCCCACCTGGCTCCTCTGTCCATGGGATTCTCCAGGTAAGAATAGTGGAGTGGGTTGCCATGCCCTCCTCCAGGGGACCTTCCCAACCCAGGGGTCAAACCTGCATCTCCTGCACTGCAGGCGGATTCTTTGCCACTGAGCCATCAGGGAAGCCCAAGCACTTCGGTTACTTGGAGCCAAACAGGGGTATGACAAGTAAGTCCACACGTGTCTTTTAAAAGCTTTTTTCTCCATGGCTTCTGAGTTTTATGTCGTGACACATTTTGGAGAGTATGTTTAGGACACTCTTCTAAACGTACTCTCCAATATTTTCTTCTCAAGTTTAACAGACTGGGTCTTTGTTATGTAGATAATACCTTCGGATGGGAAAAAAATAATAATAGGAAAAAATAATCATAGGAAATATATACCTGGAAAAAAAAGTAAGAGGGTGAGCACAGAAAAGTAAGCCCTCTTTCCCAGTCACTCAGTGCTTCTCCCCAGAGATACTCCACACAGATTTTACCCTATACATGTCAAAGAAAGGGATTAGCGCTGCAAGAGGGGGAGTTCAGAGCGGAGAGATCAACCTTGTATGGGGAAGGCCAGGAATGGCTCCTGGAGGAAGCGGCATTTTCAATGGGGCTTGATTTCAGCAGGAAAGGTGGTGGTGGCTTGAATCAAATGCTCCAAAGTAGCAAAGTGTAGATTAAGCCCAGAGAACATGGAGTAGCCTAGGTTAGCTTGACTGCATAAGAAAATTTGTCCAAATAAATAAATAATGATGATAGTAGTAGTGGCAGCAATAATATTGTGAAGAAACCATCTTGCAGAGGGGCCTTGGCAGCAACAGAAGGTGTTCACACCATATTCAATGGCTGAAACCACAAGAGGAGCTGACTCTGATGGAAGACGAACAGAGGAGGAGAAAACCTCTGGAGAAGGTCAGCAGGAGAGCAACCCCCACGTGGGGAAATAAACTGGCTTAAAAAGTTCTATGAGGATCATACAAAAGAAACAAACTAGGGTACAGCAGACTCAGCATCACAAAGGGACTGCCCCAAGTCAAAGGAAGAAATAAGGAGGTCTCAGAAGGAAAAATCAAAAAAAGGAATTATTGTTTTAAGATGCCGAGAACGTAAGGAAAAAATACGGCCCTCCTGCCCAATCAGAAAGCAGAGTGGGAGAGTCTTGGCAAGGAGCAGGCATTGGGAGAGGACCCTCAGCGACGCTTGAGCATCAAAGGACCGGGAAGAACATAAGGAGGAGCAAATAAATCACTCAGTGGCTTCCAGGAGCCACTGTTCTGGGCAAGAGGCTGACAATCTGTGCATCAGGCTTGCTCTCTCTGACAGCCCCAGGTCCGCAGAGGGAGTTTCAAGATCTGTTCTTAGCCCCAAGAAGACAATGAACTCATCTGATTTGGCAAAGTTGCATAATTTTAAAAAGAAGAGGGAGAAAGTCAGAAGATGGAAATTTTACAGAAAAAAAAAAAACAATCAATTAGCTCCCTTTAGCTTCCTTCTCTGCTTCCCATTATCTCTTACAGCCACGTTTTTTTGGCCTCCCATGAGCACAGAAAGCAGCGAGGTAATTCTTCAGGGGGCCTGTGGAGTGCCCAGGGCATAGCTGCCATGAAGCAGGAGATGTCAGACCAGATGGGGAGGGAGCAGAAGGTGGGGAGGCAGAGTGATCTGGCTGGTACTCCCACCCCTGAGCCTAAACCAAGAGCAGAAACCAATAAGAACCCCCAACCAGCCCTCAGATAATGTGATTTTCTTCTGCTGTTCTGGGGACCAGACTTTTAAGAGGAAGAGAGGAATCAGAGACAAAACAAATTCTAAGATTCCATAACAAACGAATCAAAACAAGCTCCAGGAATGGCCTTGGAGTCAAAGTGTCCAGTTTAACACACTGAGCCCCTTTTAAAATGAGGTGTGGAGAGTAGGGAGGGTGAAGATCAGCTTGAGGAAGGGAAGTGAGTGAAGTGAAGTCGCTCAGACTCTTTGCGACCCCGTGGACTTTAGCCTACCAGGCTCCTCCGTTCATGGGATTCTCCAGGCAAGAATACTGGAGTGGGTTGCCAGGAAGTAGAATGCAAATACCTAGAGCAGTTAAAAAGACTCAACAGAAAAGACTTCCATCCAACATCAGACATCAGGAAAACCCTGGCCTCCCACACATGAACATGTATGAAACAGATGACGAGAACCCGCCGCATGGCACAGGGAACGCTCCTTACCGCTCTGCAGTGACCTAAGCGGGAAGGAAATTTAAAAGTGGGGACATGTGTATACTTATAGTTGACTCACCTCACCGTAGAGCAGAAACACAACACTGTGAAGCACCTATACCCCAAAAAAACACGAAACACCCCCCAACTCCCTCACATACTGCGTGTGCGCCGTCGCTTCAGTCGTGTCCAATTCTTTCCGGCTTTAAGTGCCTGGGCTTAAGAAACTGTTGGTGTCTACCCGCAGGTTTGAAATAATGTCGTTTTACACTAAAACCAGTGTAGTGGCATTTAGAACACAACTGGGCACAGAGAACTAGGTACTTAGTGAAGGTGCTGAAAGAAAGGATGGCCAGAGAAAACCTTCCTGGGAATTCAGAGGAGAAGAAAGTGGTTCCCCCAAACCCAGCACATCAGCACAGCAGCTGTGGTCACAGGGGACACAGCTGAGGCGGCATCACACGTGCCCCTATGTGGCCGTAACTCCATCAAACAATCA